AGGGTTTAGGGTTTAGGGTTTAGGGTCTAGTGTTGGGGTTTAGGGTTTAGGGTTAGGGTTTGGGGTTTGGTTTCGTTGTGCTTTTCAGAGAACTTGTAGGGGAGATGGAGATAAGTGAAGAAGACAAAAGAAAGCTTATCGAGGCGGACCTTCGAGGCGGTGCGAAACCCTAAACCCTAAACCCTAAATCGTGGTTTAGACGGACAAGGCGTAGCATCTGGCAATTTCAAACCCTAATGAGTTTATTTGAAGGCCTTCCAGCAGCCCTTTCTCTTAAACCCCAAACCCTCGCCTCTGCAAACCCTAAACCCTCGTCGCCAAACCCTAAACCCTCATCTCCGTAAACCCTAAACCCTCGTCAGATTTCCTCCAAAGCGGATTTAAATGTTTTTTCTTTCACCACTCATGACAGAACTCTTGGAGTTAGTTAAATAAACAATTATAATTATTTATTCCGATTTATTTCTATTTATTTATTTATATCTATTTATTTATTTATTTATTTATTTTAGAATGGTGGGAGGGTTTAGAAGATGCGGCGGTTCGGGAGGAAAGAAGAAGAAGAAGAAAACTTGAAAATGAAGATGATGCTTTAGATGCAGCAGCAGAGCAGCAGGAGCTGCAGCAGCAGCAGCAGCAGCAGCAGCAGCAGGGCTCTAAGAAGGGCGCGCGGATCACAGCGGGAGACAGCGAAGACGAACTGCAGCAGCAGCAGCAAGGGACAAACACGAAGGAAGCTGACAAACATAAATCCAGCAGCAGCAGCAGCAGCAGCAGCGGGGACAAGGACAAAGCGCGAAGCTCAGAAAAGGGAAAGTCACAGGTATATGGGAGACTTCAGCAGCAGCAACAGCAGCAGCAGCAGCAGCAGCAACACAATTAGCGTCAATATTGTTTGGAGTAATGGGCGAATACCCAGCAGCAGCGGCGGAAGCCGCTGCAGCAGCAGCTGCAGCAGCAGCAGCAGCAGGAGGATTTGAGGCGCGTTTTTGCTGCTGCGAGTGTGCTTGTCCCGCAGGACCCGTCGCGGCCGAGCAGCAGCAGCAGCAGCAGCAGCAGGAAGTCTTGCAAGGAGCTGCGGAAGTTTTTTCAAGAAGAAGAAGAACTTCCCGAGGGTTTAAAACACAAACCCTTGACGAAGCTAAATGACCACAGAGATCTTGTTAATAAAGTCAATCGCGTAAAAGAAACCATTCAAGTCATCGAAAACTCGAAGAAGATCATGGCAATGTCCGTTGCTGCTGCTGCTGCTGCTGCTGCTGCTGCTGTTGCTGCTGCGTTTTGATGGTGCTGCTGCTGCTTTGCGTAATGCTGTTGCTGCTGCTGTGCGTGATGCTGCTGCTGCTGCTGCTGTGTGATGATGGTGTTGCTGCTGCTGCTGCTTTGCGCCCTTTTCTAGAAAACCAAGGGTTTAGGGTTTAGGGTTTAGGGTTTAGGGTTTAGGGTTTAGGGTTTGTGTGGCTGCAGGGTTCCAACGGAGAAGTCGGAGCTGTTCGCGTCGAAGATCGACTGGAACATTCTCGCGAAGGCAAGTTTGCAATTTAATTATTTATTTAAATTAATTAAATTAAATTAACTAATTTAAATTAATTAATTTAAATTAATTAATTTAAATTAATTAAATTATTTATTTATTTATTTATTTATTTATTTATTTGCTGCCACTCTTATTCCCTCAAAGTGGAAATTTGCAAAACTGCAAATCCAGCGCGCCCAACTGCGAAGATAAACCACCAAATAAAACAAAACAAATTAAATTAAATTAATTAAATAAAATTAATTAAATTAAATTAATTAGGTTAATTAAATTAAATTAAATAAATAAAATAAAAAGGAATAAAAGAAGAAGTTCGACGCTGCATCCCGAAGCAACCAGCCCGCCCCAGCCCAACCAAAAAGGCAAACAAAAAAAACAAAACAAAACAAATAAACAAACCGATTAAATCAAATAAATAACAACAAACAATAAATAAATATAAATAAATAAATATAAATAACAAATAAATAATAAATAAATAATAATAGTAATAAAGTTTGGCTGCTGCAGGGCGAAGTGCTGGAGAAGAAGCTGCGGCCGTGGGTGAAGAAAAAGGTGATCGAGTTTATGGGCGCAGACGAAAGACTTGTGGGCGAAGTCATTGACTACATTTTGGGAAGAATTAAAGAAAAAACTTCTCCAAAAGTGCTTTTGGAGGAGTTTTCCAGGTTCTTAGATGATGAAGCTGAAGGCTTCCTCAAACATCTCTGGCAGCTGCTGCTGTTCGAGCAAATCCGGCTCAAAAAGTGATCATTTTGCTGCAGCAGCAGCAGCAGCAGCAGCGAATTCGAGAAAAAACTTCTCCAAAAGTACTTTTGGGGGAGTTTTCCAGACTTCTGGATGATGAAGCTGAAGGCTTCCTCAAACGTCTCTGGCAGCTGCTGTTATTTGAGCAAATCCGGCTCAAAAAGTGATCAAAGTGGTGCTGCTGCTTCTGCTGCTGCTGCAGCAGCAGCAGCAGCGAATTCGAGAGAAAACTTCTCCAAAAATACTTCTGGAGGAGTTTTCCAGAGTTCTAGATGATGAGGATGAGGGTTTTCTTAAACACCTGTGGCAGCTGCTGCTGTTCGAGCAAATCCGACTCAAAAAGTAATCAAATTGCTGCTGCTGCTGCTGCTGCTGCAGGAGCAGCAGCAAGGTAAGAAACCTCCAAAAATACTTTTAGTTTTCCAGATTTAGGATGATGAAGATGAAGGGCTTCTTGAACATCTGTGGCTGTTGCTTGAATTTGAGCAAATCCGGCTTCAAAAATGATCCTCGAGCTGCTGCTGCTGCTGCAGCAGCAGCAGCAGCAAGCAAAGAAGCGGCTTCAAAGTGCTTTTAGAAGAGTTCACAAGATTTCTAGACGGTGAAGCAGAAGGGTTTCTAAAACATTTGTGGCAGCTGCTGCTTTTCGAACAAATCCGGCTTAAAAGGCTACAGCTGCAGCAGCAGCAGCAGCAGCAGCAGCAAATGAGAGAAGCCTTTTTGGAGGAGATTTTCGAGATTCCTGGATGATGAAGCAGAAGGATTCCTTAAACATCTCTGGCAGCTGCTGCTCTTCGAGCGAATCGGACTCAAAAAGTGATTCTCGTGATGCTGCTGCTGCTGCTGCAGCTGCTGCAGCTGCTGCAGCAGCTGCAGAAGCAGCTGCTCCAGCGGGCAGTGGTAGCTGCTGCAGGCGTTGGGTTGGGTAGGGGTGGGGAGGGTAGCAACGACAGCAGAGGATGCAGCAGCAGCAGCAGCAGCAGCAGGGACATGAACAGAGTTTGCTGATGC